ATGCTGCACTTCCTTGGGATGAGAGAAGACGGCCCTCAGGGACAGCATGGCCCGTCCTCGGCCCCAGTGTCACCCCACGCCTGGAGGCTGAGAGGCAAAGCGGGGTCGTGCCTTGCTTGGGGCCCCTGTGGCCCAAGTGGATGTGATTTCTGAGGGAAAATTGGGTGTTTCAGTTGTTGCAGCACAGCTCCCACTGAGGGCTGTGAGGTGCCACGGGGCTGTCGTCGCCTGCTTCCTGCCAGGCTGGGCGAGATGGGAAGGAGGCACCCAGTCCAGCTTAGGAATGGCTTTTATTCACGTTTCCAAAGAAAATAGAAGACGTCTTTCTGCATGTGCTACAGGATGGGGGGTGGGGAAGAAGGGGTGTCCCTTCAGGACAGCCAGCATGAGAGTGGGGAGGAGAGGGACTGTCCCTCACCCGGGAATTGCAGTGATGCCATAAGTGCCATTATTTCACATTTTGTCACTAAAATGCTGCCAATGCTACAGTTAAACCAGCAGGCACCAGTGCCAGCTCCTGAGCCTGCTCACCGTGGCAGGGGTGAGGAGGTGCAATGTGGCAGCTCCCCACCAAGCACCCGTGGCCCCGCTGGCTGGGCTTTGCCGCCAGGCTGGCAGCAAAATACCTCCTTGGAGGCTTAAAGCTCCAGCTGTGGCATCACCTTCCCAGATGTGGCTCATGGGTACTCGGGGCAACCCTGAGGAGGAGCCCCATTAGTCACGAGTACACAACCAGGGTGAAGCTCTCACTAAACCTCCAAGGAACAACCATCTGAGGCACTTGGTATTAACACATTTTATTTTCCCAGCGGCCACCCTTCTCAGCGCTCAGTCTTCATGCCGGTAGCCAGGGTGCTTAGCCAAGGAGATGAGATGCAGAGCTGGAGGGGTTTAGGAGATTCGGGCTGTCATCTGGCCTCGCATTTATTCAACTCCCTTCATAAACTCCAGGAACTCTGCCAAGGGGAACACATAGGAGACAAGGGGTGAGAAGTGGGACCAAAGTGACCTCGCAGCTGCCTTGTGTGCTCTTGGCAGCTTTCCCCAGCCCTGTCTCCTTTTCCATCCCCCGCGATGCACAAGAGGCCGAGGGGGCGCATGGCTACTGCTCCCCCCTGACCATAGCGAGGACTTCTTGTGACTCCCACTGGAAATGTCATCAGAGCCCAGTGTCACCCTCTGCTGCCACCGAAATGCTGGAGGTGAGCACACAGGGAGGGATGTGGCCACCAGCTTAGCTTGGAAATGGTTTTGGGGTCATTTCAGCAGCATTGTGTTCAAAGAAACAGCCTTCCGGAGCTGGTGCTTGTGTTTAGGGGGCAGGAGGGGACAGGTGGGTCTCTGGTGGAAAGCAGGTTTGCTTCAGCACAGGCTGGCTTTCACAGCAGGGGGAGAGTTAAGGCAGCCCCCAGGCTCTCACTACCACTTCACAAGTCTAAGACACCCCATTCCTGTGCAGTCACAGGTCATGATCAGGCATATGGCCCAGCACCACCTGCACAAGCTCACACCCGTCCATGAAGGCAATGGAGACCGTGGGAACTGCCTGGGGGACGCTCAAGGGCTCACAACCAAACTGCACACGAGAAAGACTCCTACCATCATAGTCAATCCTGCCATCATTGTTTTTATCCCCATCTCTCATCAGTTCTTCAATGTCATCCTCGGTGATGGTCTCTCCCGTTGCTTGAAGCATGATCTTCAGCTCTTCAAGGTCGATGTAGCCATCGGCATTTCTGTGCAAGGACAGAAGATCTCAGAAGCGGACCAACATGCTGGGGAGGAGGAACTGGGGCAGCTGCACTGCTCCCACCACCCCACCGTGCTGCGGTCAGCACCCTTACTTATCAAACATCCTGAAGAGATCTGAGAGTTCCTCTTCAGTTTTTCCTTTGCTGTCATCTTTCATACACCGGACCATCATAACAAGGAACTCATCAAAGTCTACCGTGCCGCTGCCTGCAGGCAGAATAAATACCATCAGCCGGCACAATGGTGGGTGGACAGGCAACGCCAAGCAAGAGATCAAACCTCCCTTTAGTAACCAAGGAGCAAAACTCAGGACAACAACCCTGCAGCAAGAGGCAACTTTCAGAACACTGGTGTAAGTGACTGAGGCCATGGACTGACCTCATCACAGAATTTTTTACTTTTTGCACTCTGAAAGTCCTACTGGAAGCACCGATGAATGGAAATGCTGTGGAGATACCTGTCCATCTCATTTAGGTATTAATAATAGAAGCTCCAGGAGGTAGGTACTCATACAGTGTGTTTTTGCACCAGCGGCACAGTACTGTTGTTTCCAATGACACAACTGTTTTCCTTTTTTTGCCTGATTTTTTTATTTTCCAGTTACTTAGTTACGGTAAAATACTTACGGTATTTCTGCCCAACTTGCACACAGTGGATTTTGTTACGTGTGATCACCGGTACCCTGGTTTAATCAATATTGACAGTCATTTTTGTGTGTGTGTGCGTACACATGAGCAGTGAAAGACTTTCCCGATGATAGAATCCTGTAACTGTGGCATTTCTGAAATGGCAGTTGCTACATTCAGCATTGATTTTTAAATGGGTCTGTGCAACTTCAGAGTAGCCCCCAAAACCAGTTCAAGCAGTCTGATCGTTATAGGAACAATAATTTTTATAGTTTCCCTTTGCCTGGAAATTTTCTAAAGGAAGCACACTGAAGTTTGGTCAGTGTTCAGTGTCCATCAAAAATCACAGTGCTGCAGGTTGCTCCCTGTGGACTGTGGCTGTCCCCAGCATGGATCCTGCGCAGATTCTGAGCGCTCCTGACCTGCACCATGCACCCCATGCCTGGCATGGGGGTGGTGCTTGGGAAAGTGGAAGAAACCTGAATCGCTCACCATCTTCATCCACCTCATCTATCATCTCCTGCAGCTCCTCAGGGGTGGGGTTCTGCCCCAGCATCCTCATCACCTTCCCCAGCTCCTTGGTACTGATGCAGCCATCCTCTGCCCCCAGCACGAAGATGTCAAAGGCAGCCTTGAACTCTGGGGAGAGAGGGGAGAGGAGATGTGGGGGTCTTGCCCTGACCCCAGAGGTAAGCAGCCCTGGCACAGGGGGTCTCGCCCCTGGCACAGTCTCCCCTGCCCACACATCCCAGCACTGCCCAGGCACAGCAAGGACAACTGGGCACACACACAGAAACTGCCTTGCTTGAAATGCCAGTGGGTCAAAAATCCCTGGGTTATGGCCTGCTTTGGCCAGCTGATAGAAAGACCGTGTTTTTTGGGGGTGTAATTGCTGAGGCGGGCTGTGCTGCTGGCTGGGGAGTCTGTCCTTAGGCTGCTGTGTCGGGTTGAAGGTGCACCTACCATTTTTTTGCTCTTCTGTCAGCTGTTCAACCTGTAAGGAAAATAGAGGCCAAGTCATTTTCCTTCCTCGGCATTGCTAATGGTTAAAAGGTAATCCTATTTGTTCATCCACCTTTGCAAAGGTCAACCAAGACTTAGAACAGTCACCCTCATGGACTATGGGATATATGACCAGTGGGGTTTTTTGACACCACAACTTTTTGTATTCTAAAAGATTCTTCCCCTTAAAAGGCAATTATTCCCAACTCCTTTGAAGTGAGCATCATTTCTCTAGAGTGGCAGCATCTAGCAGAATTAGCCTTTGCACAAGCAGCAAAGACCCACTAGGAAAAGCATTTGTCTCTGTCAACCTTTTGGGGATAATTTCTTGCTGCCGGGAGGCTTCACTGCGGGACAGCTGTGCCGCAGAGGTCTGCTTGTGTGTGGGCTGAGGTCAGGTCAGAGGTGGACGTGCTGGCAAGGTCCCTGGGGAGGGAGAGGCGGACAGGACCATCCCTGGTAGTTGTTTTTCAGCCCTAGAGTCAGGAAACTCTCTGCACTATCCAGAGCATTAAGAGCTGGTCAGCTTCCACCCAAGTCAGTGCTCATTACAGAGGTTCCTGCCTCTGAAGGGAGCTACTATTCCCTTTAGCCTGTTTTGGGTATGTCCCCGAAGAAATGGCCCATGGAGCCATTAGGTGTTAGCAAAAACAGGAATGGCAGATTGCTGCCAAACCTTACCCTAATTTATTCCCTGCAGACGATCATCGTGAGCTTAGTAGTTAGTGTGAATTAATGAAAACAATCAACGAGGAGAGCAAAGAGGAATCCAGCAGCTCTGTGTCCTGCCCCTTGAAGTGCATTTCGCTCTTTGGCTTCTCTCCTGCCTGCAGGTACCACTTAACTAAAATTGCTGACCCCACCACCGTGTCCAACTGCCCCTTCAGTAGCATCCATTAAAACGCTGACTCTTCCCTCCCAGGCTGGTCGACAGCGTCTCTGGAGTTGGCCAGCCATGACCCCTGCCAGGGCCACCTCTGGCTCGTGCAGAGGGTGCCTGAGCCCACGAGTGGCTCCTTCCTACCATCTCTGTGCCCTGCATGAGCAGTCCCCAGCGTCCATCCCCACCGTGTTTTGGTCAGGGCAGAACCCCTCAACTCGGGGTTGTGGCACTCTATTTTTGAGGGAAGGCTGATGCTTCTGCCCCAAAGATTGGTGATTTTGCAAAAGCCAGCTGAAAATCCTTCCCGCTTGCAGCAAGAGGCAGGGAAAGTGCTTTTCCTTAGCAGGACAGAACCTTATCCCACTCCCCACGTGCCAGGAGGTGAAGGTTTTAAAGTCAGAAAGTGCTAAGGATGGCGGCAGGATTGCCATGGCAGGAGGAAGCCCAAGCCCGCTGTGGCCCCAGCACCGCTGAAGGCAGACGGGCAGCTGCTGGCCCTTGGTGGCTATTGTTTGGGCAGCGAGAGGGCAGCCACAGCGCTCCCGAGGCCGATGCCCGAGGCCACCGTCCTGCCGCTTGGGTAACCTGACCCTCTTGGTGCATTCGCTATTTATAAGCCTGGGTGAGAGGTGCTGGAGATAAAGATGAGCTCCCCGATTGTTCCCAGGCTTTGGTATTTATCCTTGCAGCCTTTTATCTGGACACTTGTCCCTGGCACTGTTCTTAGCACCGCTTAACAGAGCCTAAAAATGTTCCCAAAATAGCTTTGTGTTTGCACACCCTTATCAAGGCATGAGTGGGCAAGATGAAAATCCATTGGGTTCTCTGGCTGCATGTAGGGAATTTCGCATAATTATTAATATATGTCATCAGCATGCAGCAAATAAAAAATACTCACTTTTGAAGCTTCCTCGATTACTGAAGTGACAGATGTGGAGCTATGCCCTATGTAAATTAAATGCATTGTAACTATGGAGTGACGCTTTTGTTACAGAGGGGTCTCTTGAGCTGCTCAGTGCCCTCTGGACACAGGTGCTGTTCACAGCTTTATTCCTTTATTTCCCTCCGTATCATTGCAGGGACAGGTTTCTCTGGCTGCGGTGCAGGAAGGCAAGCACTAAGCTCGCAGCACTGCAGCAGCCATGGTAACACCAAATCTGCTGTATTTTGCTTTTATCAATCAGCTCTCTTCTTCATCCCATGTTTCCATTTGAAGTCAGACAGGGCAAGTTGAAGTTCTTGAATTATTTATTTTTTTTTTTCCAGGTAAGTGTTTTCTTACAGTTAAAATCTTGGGGAATAGATCCACGAAAAAGCTGTTTGTCTCAGCTGTGCCTGGCTTGGAATTGTTTTACTTCTGTAAGGGTGCTGGCACTTCATGTCCAGGCTGTGAGCCCCATATTTACCAGCATGCCCCCACCTTCACACCAGCAGTAAAACCTTAGGGGAATCTGTTGGGACTTTTGCACGGCCCATTTTCCCGGTCAAGAGCTCTGTGTTTGGGGTAAGTTTTGGTACCTGAGGTAGGAATTCTTGTGTTGTTCTCTATTGCTGCAGTTCCTTTTTCTCAGCTCAATTCCTCCATGGTCCAACTCCGCTAAAGCCCACAGGCTTTGGCTAGGGATGGCCTTCATCTGTGGATTTGTGCCCCTTTCTGGGGCAGAGATTTGGAGAGAGGCTGGAGCTTGAGGGTGGGGAACCCTTTCTTTTTGGGGCTCCCTGCCGATGCTGTGAACTGTGTCCCAGCTGCTGAACAGACCCTTTTGGCCACGGGCATTGACGGCTTGCAAAGCACTTTAGCCTGTCTCCCTAACTACAGGCATGAGGTCCCAAAACAATAAGGAGAGGACCTGTGCCTTGAGCCACAGAGAACATATTTAATTAAAAAGCTTAATTAGAAAGGCCTAGATTTTCTTTGATTTTACAAGTCACATTTTTCTCCCTTTTTGAGGTGTTAGTTGGGGGGACTTGGCACTTGATTGTACAGCCTTTCCTGAGCCTTTTCACACTATCGCTAGGGCGTTTCCATTTCACAAGGTTCAGGGCTGGCCAAAGGACAGGAGAGGTGTGAGCATTTGGGGTTTTTTCTTCAGTTACATACCAAACACTATCTCTCTTCCATCTGAAAACCTCGGAATTAAAATAGGACTTGTATGATGTATTTTTTGTACCCTTGGTTAAAATCAAACCTGATCAACTATATATTTTTTTTTAGAAAAAAAAAGGACCAAAAAGCTCTTATTTTAAGTCCGGTTATGGAAGGGACACAGCAGCAATCCACACGATCCAGAATCTATTTTCATCCTTATTCCACTTGCGTATCACTGTCTGTCTACGTTACAAAATAATGCAGTGTCCTTATTACAGACCAAATAGTTTGGGTTTACACAGTGAGCACAGCGTGCAGCTGTGCAAGTTAAAATAGCCCTTGGGATGCTCTGCGTTCCCGGAGAGCATAGCTCACATTCTGGCTTTCTGCAACACAGATAGCAGGAGAGGCAAAGTAGAAGAGGATGTTTGGAAATAACTTACAAAAGTTGAGGGGTTTGGGTTTTTTTAAATCTACCAGAAAAATACTCAGCTAAGGAAGGGGGAAATGTAGCAGTGGCCGACCTATAAAGCACCAGAAAGAAGAGGGTGAGGTCTAACCCATACAAATAATGTTCATTTCGTGAGAAATGCTGCTCTGCTTTGTCTGGGCTAAAACGAGTAGCCGCCTCTTACACTTTCAAGATTTTGTTGAGATTTATAACTTCACCTATGAGCCATCTCTCTTTCACAGGGGGGATCCAGGGGAGTAATTTTACACAATTTAGCAGCCCAGTTGAGATTTTCACACTTACAAGAGGAGTGTGAAACCTTCAGAGCTGCCAGTAGGAAAGGTCTGTGCCCTAGATGAAGATGCCACCCTGTAATTATTCCTTATTTGCATTTCTCCACTGAATTAATTCCATCACAGTTATGGGGAACCTACTACAAAAGACCTGAAAACACTTTAACACCCCCCGCCTCCCTCAAAGCACAGCCCCAAGGGAAGGCACTTACCGCTGCCTTATAAATGTCATCCATGGCTGGAGAGGGTGGGCGAGGGGCTGGGGGACGTCAAGGTCACACTCTGCTGGGGCTGCCCCTGGAGCCTGGCTGATATAGGGGGCTGCCCGCCCTGGGGGATGTGACC